TCTGAAGATCAGCTATGACGCAAAAGAGCTCGGTTTTGTTGATAAGAGTGGGGCGAGAGCGAAGAAAAGGCGGCTTTCCCTTAGCGATAAAATAGTAATCAAAAAGTGTGGAACTGCAATAAATGCGCTACATTTACAAGGTTTTTTTTATGTATTTTTGATGATTAATTCTTTGCCTGTGAGTCTTTCATCACACTTCAACTATTCGGCGCGATTATTGGACACATCTCAACATGCTTTTAGAGGCTTGTTCTCTAGATTTTTAAAGATTTACAATGGCAAACAATTTTCTAATTCAGTTTCATTATTTAACAAAGTTGACTTGATGTTCTTCTAAGCGCAATTGCGTCTGTACATTTTAATACCAGACTTCTACTTATAGGAAAGTTTTAAATTGCGTAAGAAACTAATTCTCGTTTTGGCAAAAAATATTATCATTTGTCTCATTTCTCCAATTGATTTTCTTATCAGCTCTTTCTTGCTTCCGATGTGCTTCCGATGTTCGTTTTTAGCATTCCAATCACACTGGCGCTCTTGATTTGCACCTCTACCTCTAAGACTTCCAACTTTCTTTAGCAGATGCTTAAAAATACATTTACCAACGAAAAACGCAATTTCAGTGTCATTCAAACCCGAATTGAACGTCCTAAAACATGGTATAAAATTTTGAAAAATCTTTTCTAATTCTACAATAACTTGTTTTTCCTTGCACAACAGTATACTTTCAGAAACGTGTTCTGAAGATCAGCTATGACGCAAAAGAGCGCGGTTATGTTGATAAGAGTGGGGCGAAGGCGAAGAAAAGGCGGCTTTCCCTTAGCGATAAAATAGTAATCAAAAAGTCTGGAACTGCAATAAATCCGCTACATTTACAAGGTTTTTTTATGTATTTTTGATGATCAATTCTTCGCCTGTGAGTCTTTCATCACACTTCAACGATTCGGCGCGATTATTGGAAACATCTCAACATGCTTTTACAGGCTTATTCTCTAGGTTTTTAAAGATTTACTATCGTAAAAATTTTTTTAATTTAGTTTCGTTATTTAACAAAGTTAAGTTGATGTTCTTCTAAACGCAATTGCGTCTGCACATTTTAATACCAGACTTCTACCTATAGGAAAGTTTTAAATTGCGTAAGAAACTAATTCTCGTTTTGTCAAAAAATATTATCATTTGTCTCATTTCTCCAATTGATTTTCTTATCAGCTCCTTCTTGCTTCCCATGTTCGTTTTTAGCATTCCAATCACACTGGCCCTCTTGATTTGCACCTCTACCTCTAAGACTTCCAACTTTCTTTAGCAGATGCTTAAAAATACATTTACCAACGAAAAACGCTATTTCCCTGACTCATACAAAAATTCTCTACTGTTTTATTTTTAAACAATTTTGTCGCTTTACATAATTGGAAACACGGGTTTGATATTTGCTATCTCTCTAAGTGAAATAAGCTACGTTCCCACATAATTAGGAGTGCTTTTAAAAGCGGCGTTTAACACTGTTTATGTGTGGTAACCACAAGTCATATAAAAAGAGTCTGATAAATGGAATTAAAACTTAGCAAATGTTAATAATTATTCAATCGTGGTCGATTCACTCGGGATTGAAGCCAACATTTAAACAAGAAAATTCAAAAATGTTTCGTTAAGAAAATCTCGAACAGAACCAAATATTTGGATTACTCTTCCGTGTACGAGAACATTTGAAAACAATTATCGAATTTACCAATTTACATGTGAATGTGCGAATTTCACATAAATCAGTTCAAGCCGTTGACAATTAAAGATGATAAAAGCGCTAGTTGGAAGGTTTTCTGACCAATGCAATGCATATTCCTTATTTGAGTCAGGAACCCGGTTTTTCCACGACCTTCTAGAATTTCCAATTAGACTAATTAAAACTATTTGCACCAACAACCACTTTTCCCCTTGTTTAAATATTTGCCATTATGAAGCTGATAGCACGAGGTTAATACACTTAGTTAGTGTTGCAAAAACATCCACGATTATTTTGGCGCTCCAAAACAAGCTCTAGCATGAGTTTGTTGATTCCGATTTATCGATCTCAATGGCATTTTTTCCTATTCAACCTTCAGCTCGAATCAGCTCTGTATCACTCTATTCCAAATATCTTCTAGTTCGGTAAACCTGGAAATTCACCTGCGCCCCGATATAGAGACTCGCTCTCGCTATTTGAAAACATTAAAATGGCTCGAACTCTTTGAGGTTTAGCAACAGTTTGTCAATCAATAAATCAGCCAACGGTGGCAAATGATATGGAGTTTTGCCTGTATAGAAACGGAACTCTGCAGTTTGGCATCGACTTTCGCTTAAGTTTCGCAACATTTCATTTCACCTACTTAAATCGAAGCTATTCTGTCTTCATTGTTCTCGAATTGAAAATAATCCTCGATCTTTTCCGGAGGAAATCTTTCCTTAATTAAAGTCGCCGACCATTGCCAATTATTCCCCTAAGAACTGGAGGAGCAACGAACCGAAGGATAATAAAATAAGCCTTATTAGTGGAACGATAATTATCTGGAGATCTTTTTCAAAGCTAAATAGCGATTTTGGAAAATTTGTTCAATCCCGAATGAACGTCAGCAGTTTAAGAACATCAGATTGATACTGACAGAGCTTCGAAAACGTTTCAACAGCGCGCGAACATGAAATTATGGAAAATATTGAATAAAGCCTATACAGATGGAATTTTACAATTATTTTGACGTCAAATTTTTATTTTTTAATGCCGACCTCAGTAGATGTAGCCCTTTGAAGGATCAAGTAATTCTACATACCAGATAACTCAATTTTCGATTGCTTAGTTTAAATTTACTTTTATATTCTATTCTTTATAGCAAACCGCCCTAGAAAACTCAAATTTTTCAATGAATTACTCGTATGTTGGAACCAGAGACGGTCGGTATTTAACCGTTAATATAACAGTGTTCCAAACGAGTAACGTAAAACCGTAGTTACAGCTAGCCGATTTAACCTGTTCTTTTTGGAACCGACTCATAAAACCGAAACAGTTGAGCGCACTTCGCAGCAGCTGCAGCCGTTTGCCGATTTAAAGGTTGTTTTTGGAACCGTCTCATAACGTTATCAGTTTTTTGTTCTTTAAGTAGTTACTTCTGACCCATGTTATTTTCTATTTTAGAATATTTTATTTTAAGTTTACCCATGTTAAGAATTATGTTTTTAATACAGGAAATCATTATATATAATCACAATTGCTACTATCATCATTCTGCATTTTTAATGAAAAATTTAAAAAGTAACATGTTCCTTTTGGAACCGCATTTTGAACCTATTACCAAGGTGAAACTGGAACGTTGTAACCCGTTACAGAAAAATAACCGTTTATTACGCCTCTAGTTCAGACATCTGACACCGTTTTCTTCTAGATTTTTAAACCATTTAGGCAATTTTAGTCTGTAAATTATAAGATATCGTGAGGGAGCTTAGGGTTTGGAATCTTGTGAAGCATTGTGGTTATTTTATAAGCTAAAAGTCGCAGACTAAACTCCTATCTCGAGATATAATTTGCGTTATTTCAGTTTCAATCAGCTATTGTGAATAATTCTTCATCTAGACTGAGAAATCTCTAAGAAACGATGGTCTCCAAGAAAAGATTAGTCTAACGCAAATAATAGAGTAAAAAAATTTTTTTTAACCTATTACCAAGGCGAAACTGGAACGTTGTAACGGTCCAAAAAAAATAACCGTTTATCGCACCTCTAATTGGAACCCTTGTTACTTAGTCTGCTGAAAAATTATTTTCCTCCTAAACCACATTAACCAAAAGAAGTTTCCACTGAGGTGATTTGGGCAACAAAACGGAAAGTGCAACTCCCACGCAACAGCATAACTTCATTATAGTTTTATAGCCGCTAACGCAAAATAATAATTATTTTCCTCGTTAAATTAGCAACTGGTGAGCTGTATGGAGCTGAAACGGCACATTTATCTAGATTTGATTGTTTCTGGCTCCTAAGCAAATAAAGAGGCATTAGTTGTGAATAATTCCCCTCGGGCAATAAAAGACATATTTCTCGAAATTGCCGGGATTATTTCTTTCATTAAGAAGTAAATTTCAGACCAGCAGTTACCTTCCAACACACAAAAGTTGGAGGCTGTACAGGATTGTTCAACTTGAAGGTTGTCTTTTCACAGTGCCCACATATAATCTAGGTTTTCCTGCTGATTACGATGTGAACATCATGCCTCACATTTGAATAACCGCGTAGAAAAGTGCCAATGAGCGAACAGTCGGCAAAAAATACCCTGCAGACTTCTAACCAGTTTACTTTAAGTGGATGTAAGTAAATCTGGCTGAAACATCTAATTAGCTCGGCACCAATTTGAATAGAAGATCTAATTGTTGGCAACCCTTTCGAGGAAGCGCGCACCTCCGATTTCTCGCGTCTTCTCTCTAAACTAAACATCGCAAATCAAAAGCCTTTCAGCTTCCCAGTCGTTTATTAGTAGTCGAGAAAGATGTAAATCAATTTTCGGATCACAGGCGGTATTAAAGCAGCTCTTATTCAGTCAGTTCCTCATCCGATTGACCTTAATTTGCGATTTGTTCGAGATTGTGCGCTATTTTTCTTAAATATTACCATCGTTCGAGATTGGCAAAAAGACCAGAAGTAGACGAAAAGTAACACACGATGCAAAGATTTGCCAGAACTCCTAGAAGGAAAAGAGTCAGAAAGAAGAAAAGAATCAGCGATAAAAGCGACTAAAAGACGCAATTCGAAGAAAACTGATGAGCGTTTCTTCTGGGAATTCATTAAAACTCCTTGAGTGTCTTCAGCTAAAATCTGATGGAACACCGAAAATCGAGTGCTACTCAATTTACACTGAACACTCTGAACCAACAGACTGCTGAAGTAAAACCGTCGGAGCAACTGAATGACCCAAAGAGTCACAGACCGACGTTGAAGCAGCGCTTCTAAGTGCAAAAGCAGGAAATCCAAAAATACGAGTTATAATGCTCCATATTTGCAGCTCAAATGTACGTCCACTAGCGAAAGGAAAATCCCCTCAAGTGGCTTACGCTTTTTATTTTATGCCCTCCCATATCCGCTGAAATATGAGACAAAAATGTACATTCGATGTCGCATAAGCCCAAACCGTATTTCCATTAGCAGGACGCAGGTTTTTTCTGGCACAAACATCCCGAGTTTGTCACAATTTTTGAATATCTTAGTGGAAGAAGTTGAATTAATATAGAACGCAATTATACAGATTCCGAAAAAACTCGTCGCAAATAGAAATGCACTCGCCTTTAATCATCTGCAACCGATTTTGTCCGTAAAGTCTTTAGGCTTCTTAACTATATTAAAAGGAAAAGATCGGAATATCTCGAGGGCATTCCCGGATCTAAATAAACCCCTGGAACGAATTGCTCGTCGGTATTTAATAAAAAGACCGGCTGAGAAAATAATTTGGGTTCAATTCTGGGCGGCATTTTTCGGGAGTTCGTTTGCAAAAATGTGACTCCAGTCTAGTTGATTGATACTGAAACTACCAGTGCATCTTAAAGAATGCAATTATCCAAGAAAAATGCCGCCTGTTCTGACAGACTCTCAATTAATAAGGCAACATTATCATGCCAAGCAAGATCAGACAAAAGGAAAATGTCGTGTGATGATGATGGTTGCATGCGTTATCCTAATCGTCGAGGGAAATTATGCATTTTAAGTGGGAATTGTTGCCTCAACTCGAAGCTTTACTTTTTCCGCCCTTTGGGGAGTTTTTACGCAGCGTAGGCCTGTGGGAAATATGCGTTTCACATGCAAATAGCTGCACATGTGTCGAAGGGACCACTGCAGTTAAAAAATTGCTACCGAAGCTGATTCTGAATAAGTGGCAGATGACTAATGTGTAAACTCCCATCAAAACTGTGTTGGATTTTAGTTCGAGTTTACAGTTACAATTCTTTGGCGGCAGTTTTAAAATTCTTTGATACATTTTTGAGGCGTTTTTAAGGCGTTTTGCAATTCTTGCAAAGATAACTTACCGATTTCTTAAGGAAATCCGCGTTAATCAAACTCGCTTTACAATTGATTTGTCTCCAACTCAACGGTGATACATTTTTCAAACAAGAAAAATATTATCGTATTATTATTATTTAAAAATCGTCGTTACAGATTTCTGTCCCAAAATAGACGTTAGACCGACAAATTTCGACCAAATTTGGAACTGGATAAAGCGCATCTTTTGCAAGAAACCGTTCTTCACATAAATTTTCTGCAGGAAATGAAATTAAATGAAAATTTCAAATAAAAGTTCCATATGCAAAAAACGTGCCTTTTGTATTTCAACACTACAGGCTCATATCTCGAAAAACTTTTTCAATTTTTCGCACATTTCGTTTGTTCGGACAGCGATGTATATTTTTTTGGACCGATTAGCAAAGTCTGAGGCTCATGTTGAAGTTACAACTTCCAGTTCACTTAAAAAAATATATACAGGGTGTCCCGTACGCTCACGATCAAAAGGCTACTGCGATATTATTTGGATCGAAAGAAGACGATCTGACCTAACTTTTATTAACAAAAAATGTCTGGATCCTCTGCTATTGATGGTCAAAGTTCTTCACAAAAATGATCTTTTTGGAAATATCACGAGATGGGTACGATGTATTTTGGTGAAACTCGCTGTGAATTTGTTG